AGGGCGGGGGGAGACGAGACCTCTGCAGGATTAAACAAATCAGTATTCTGTATTCCTGCATTTTTCTGGCTTGTGTGCAGCTCTTCAGGGCTTTTTACTAGTTAACGCATCCAGCAGATTTGACGTCGTTTTTTTCTCTCTCTCTGAAATAAACTTGGCTTCCCTAAGAAGTGTTCTGTTTACTTGATCCGGAGGATCATGACAGAATCTCTAGGTAAATCAAACTTTTCATCTTGGGACCGATTACAGAGCTGGCTCATCGGGCTGAAAGCCAGCAAGCTTCGAAAACGGGAGATTTCGAATAGAACGAATGCATTTGTTCTTGTGGGCATTTCCTTCTCTCCCTGGATCTGTTTGACTTGTGCTGCACGACCGCTGAGGAGGCTTGCCTTAAAGGCCTCGGTTAAAAACCTTTCCTACCTACCCCCTTTTCAACATTTTGGAGTGGCTCTGAAAGGTTCTTGCCTTGTAGGAAATCTGAGACAGATTTGCTTCTCAAAACCTTTTAAGCAGTCGAAGGAGAAAATAATCTGCATTTAGTTACTTATGAAATTGCTGATTTGGTTTTGTAATAATTCCAGAACAAAGGCAGCATCTTAAAACCCAAGGCAAGAAGAACAGGTCCAGTTAAAATCCACAGCAAGCAAATCTACATTCGTTGGACTCTAGTGAAACTTGCAATATATATTTCCCAGTGCGCTTTATGGAAGGGACGCGTGGATCAGTGGCTAAGATGCTGAGCTTGTCGATCAGAAGGTTCAAATCCCTAGCGCCATGTAACAGAGTGAGCTCCTGTTACCTGTCCCAGCTTCTGCCAACCTAGCAGTTCGAAAGCATGTGAAAAATGCAAGTAGAAAAATAGGAACCGCCTTGGATGGGAAGGGAACAGCGTTCCGTGTGCCTTCGGCGTTGAGTCATGCTGGCCACATGACCACAGAGACATCTTCGGACAGCGCTGGCTCTTTGCCTTTGAAACGGAGATAAGCACCGCCCCTTGGAGTCGGGAACGACTAGCACATATGTGCGAGGGGAACCTTTACCTTGGTGCGCTCTGAGGTTGTTTTCTTGCAGATGTTTCCCAATTAGGTAGCATCATCAATGTTAGGATTTTTAAAAAAAACAGCAAACCCGACTCCCCTCTAGTACTGATGATGTTACCTAGTTGGGTAATGAAATGTCTGCAAGAAAACAACCTCAGAGAGCACCAAAGACAGTTCTACCCTGAGCTACAAATAATCCCTTCTGCAACTAAACTGTCAGAAGGAGCCATATGTACCTTTTGTTGTTATGCTTAAGATACCCCCCCACCCCACCCTCCAGCAATCAAACACTTTCAAACCTTCTAGCAATTTTAGTTTTTTTGATTTTGAAGTAACATTCCTGTAGTCATGCCAGAATGACTTAAGAATTTCCACCCACACCATCAAACCCCAATGAAAAAACATGACATTATCTGGAGATGGAAATGGATTTTCCTCCCCCCCCCCAGGACAGTTGAAAAATCCAATTTTTATTAGTAGAGAAAAGTAATGGATGCATTACAGAAAGCAACTCGTTTTATTCCCATCGGTCCCCATGTCGGAGAGCACATGTTTGAATTCATAGGCGTTTCTCATTTTAGCTGAAGAAAAATAATTTAAAAAAAAAACCTCCTGTCAATCCATTACTTTAAAATAATGATGTCATTCAAAAGTCCACGCCGAGTGGTACAATTGGGGCTGTGGTGCATTCACAGTGCATTGAAGAGGACTTTGGTGGATGAAAATAGCACCAAGTGTTCTCTTTCCATGGTTTCCTCTCTTTCTTTCACTACCCCGAGAAGGGAACCAATTCATGAGACCCTCCTTGAATTCAGCCCTCTCTGTAAAAAAAAAGGCTCAAGAAACCTCTGTTTCTCCTAAAACGTCCTGTGCTTGTGGGTGTTTTCCTTCACTCTGTGCTGCTGATAGGCGTCTCCCCGCGGTGAGGCTCTTTTTCTCCCTGCCACACGAAATGCCATTTGCTCCATTGATTGAGACTTCATGGCTTTAAATGCACAGCGATGCACGTTAAGTTAACTCCAGCCCACATGTGCCTCACAGGAAGGGACTATTCTTTCAAAACAGTTGGCTTTAAACGTTGGCGGCACGGGCTTTGCAAACCCCAGAAATCACAGTCCACGGGCAGGTTAAGAAAATTAAAAAGGTCTAATAATAACCCAAAGCTGGGATGACGAATTCTGACTTCAGAACTTGAATGAACATTGAATTCTTTCTTTCTTCTTTATTGGCCAAGGAATGGCTTCCTTGGACACACAAGGAATTTGTCTTTAGTCTGTATGCCCTTAGTGTACATCTTTCTATTC